AATTTCTTAAAAGTTACTAGCTGTATCGACGACGAGAGGGAACACAACAGTGAAAGAGCGCCCAAACCCAACAAGCAAGTAAAAGATTAATAACGATTCTAAATGCGTTAAAGAAAACGGAACATTTTTCTCCCCCCAAAAACAATACCAAATGCGCAATGCAGTATTTTATTATGATTCTCAGATTTTTTTTTGTGTGTTCATTTAGTGAAGCATCCAAAGGATTGGTAAATATGTGCGAGGGATATGAAACTGAAGTGAATACTCAAACGGCAGGCATGCAGCTTTCCAAATGCAGAGCACCAGATAGCGCTTCCTGCAGCGACTTCACTACATTTGTTCGACTTCTGTTTTCTGGAACCACACCTCCGAGATTTAGTTCTCCCAGAAAGGTTGCTGGAAGAACAAATATAAGACACGAGTTGTATGAATTACCAAGAATACCAAGACCACCTCCACAGTCGCGTAGATTTCTCTGTGCGTATAAATCACCGTATCGAAAAAATTTTCCAAAAGCCAACCTCGGAAATGCTTTTAGCTTCTTTCTCGGCCTGTACAGCAATTTCTTCAGCCATTTTCGCATCATTTCTCGCGTTACCAATCGCATTTTCTGCCTCTCGAGTTGTGTCTTCAGCAAGCGCAATTTCGTCCTCAATTTCCCTAAGTTTACCCAGCTCTTCGATTGCTTCTGATTTACTTGCATCCACTCGTTGTTGAAATTCTACAATACGTTTTCTCAGACATGACTTTTTATGCAATTTTTGCTGTACACTCGAAGGAAGGGACCACGGACAGTCTTGCAGCGACTGGTTCCTGTTGGCCATATCAGAATTCTAACTCATTTTCTAGGCTTTGAAAGCACTAAAAAGCAGCAAAATTCAAAAAAATGCTCAAATTATTAAATCTTTTCGAGAGAACAATTCATCTTCTAATTTTAAAAAACATCAAAAAAAAATATTAAACTAAATAATTGGCTAACGCACGGGCTGTCCGTGCGATGATGCATTTTTTGCATAGCTCCCCGCAGTTTTTGTCGCTATCGCCATCGGTTTTTTTCGGCAGATCCTTCTAGATAAACAAATTAAGACTGGCCGCCAAAACTGGCAGAAAACACCCCTTTAAAATTTCAGCTTTCTAGCTTTCCTGACTCGTCAGTTAGCAACTTACCGGAAAAAATTTTTCACGAGCCCGCACTCGGGTACCACGCATACCCGATGTC